GAGGCGAGGCCGTAGAAGAGGGGTGTTTGGCTTTTTTCTGTCTGTTTTTTTTTTCTTTCAATCAATCAATCAATCAATCAATCGATTCAATCAACGAATCAAATCGATTCATTGATTGAATCGATTGATTGATTGATTGATTGATTGATTGATTGATTGATTGATTGATAAATTGAGGAGGAGGAGGGCAGCGGAGGAGGAGGGGAGGGCGACGACGAGGTCAGTCGGGATCCGGATAGGGAGGAGGAGGAGGAGGAGGAGGAGGGTTGGGCGACGACGAAGATGACGACGACGTCAAAGAAGAGGAAGAAGAAGAAGAAGATATGGCGGAGGACGGGGAGGAGAAGGAGGAGGAGGAGGGGAGGAGGAGGAGGAGGACGGTGGAGGAGGACGAGGAGGAGCAGGAGGAGGAGGACGCACACCTACCAGGGGGTTTGATGCTCCGCTTGAGAACGCTGCGCGGGACGAGCGGCGGGGCAGCCCGATTGTTCGTGCGAATTCGAACAGGGGACCTGGCTGCCCCTTCCCGCTAGGCCGCCCGCCCAACCCTGCCCCCCAAAACCCCCCTCTACGGCCCCAAGGACCCCCCCAGACCCTCGGAGGGCCGGTAACGCCGCTGGGCGAACGCGTTCGCAGGCCTCCAAAAGCCGTTCGTGCGAACGCGTTCACTTCCCGTTCGGGTGAACGGCCGATTGTGTTCGGACGTTCGGAAAACTTCCGAACACGTTCGGTGTGCTACGCAGGATTAACCTAGTTTCGAGGCTCATGAGTTCAAAAAGAAATATTTGATTTAGTTGGAAAAAGAATTCAGGAATGCATACCGTGAATGACAGAGTACCAAAGTTCCCAGTCGGAACAAGAGGCGATGAAAGACCTCCCTTGATGGAAAAAGGCAGCCTCATCAATTGTTTAGCCTTATAAACATTTTGTCGATGAAAAGGGCCTCTCCCTTTGATGTGGTAACAAAAAGATCATTATACGATTGAAACTTGTATCTGTTGCGATCAATGTATGCGCACACCTGGATAAATACAACGAACACATGTAGAAGTGCAACAAAATTGTTTTTTACCAATTCCATCAAAAATAATAATGAAAGAGAAAACACTATTTCAAACAGCGTTGTCACGCGGGGATTCCCGGAGGGTGAGCCGGGGCTGTTTATCGAGCCCTGAACCCCTACATTGGGACCCCCAATCTCCGAACCCCCTGGCATGCAAATTTCAGTTTGTTTTTTTTTTTTGCTTCTTTGCCCTCCCCGTGAGGAATCATGTGGGGAACTTTTTTTTTTTTCCTTCCCAAAACCGTTGAAAAAAATTCCTAACCGACGGCCCCCGTAGACCCCCGGTTCGGGTGGCTCTGCAAGACTGCAACCCCTGCCTACCGCTACCCCCACCCCTGCACCCGCTCCCACCCCCACTTCTGCCCCCATCGCCGTGTCCACCACCACCCCAGCCCTCGCCCCCCCCCTGTGCCCGGGTGTCCCCGACCCCCACGTGCACCACCGACCCCCGCGTGCACCCCCACGCGCGCCCTCGACCCCTGTGCCCACTCCCGCACGCACCCCCAACCCCTGTGCCCACCCGCGTGCGTTCACAGACCCCGGCACCGACCCCCCCTCCACCCCGGCTATCCCCGCCCCCACCCTTGCACCACGCCACTACTAGCCCCACGCCAAGGACCACCCCGGTCGCATTAAAGGAAGGTGTATCCCTCGGGGGGGGTCCAAGGTGGGGGGAAATTTGCATTGTGGCTTTTTATGCCACAGGGTGCACGCCGTTGCTGCACACCTCCCACTAATTTTTTTTTTCTTTTTTTTATATTTTTTTCGGATTTTTTTTTCTTTTTTGGGGAGGTCCAGACTCAGGGTTGGGGGTGCGCACCTGAGGGTCCGGGGCCAGGGGTGGAAAATGCTGATTTCAAATATAGAGCATACTTTTTAAAACCTTCTTAAATGTCACTCCAGATAAAAGCAAATTCGAGAAAAACAACTCACCTTCTGGATGAAGTCCAAAACCATTTGGTTATTACCAAATACAACACCAGGGATCTTTATAAGCAGGTGTCTTGAAAATTTCTCTGCAAAAATAAGGAAGTATGGATTGCAATTATTATGTTATTGGATGACCTGTTCTGGCTTCGCTCTCAAACAAAATATAATCAGTGATTTCTCCCTCTCTCTCCGTGCAAATACAAATATTTGAGGAATAAAATCAATGCCCAACAAACTAACTTCTCCTTTTCCTCAGACCGACCACTGTCTCCACATAACTTGTCAACCCGTTGGTAGCTTCCTTAGTAACTCCCCCCCCCAAAAAAAAAAGCTAGGCCCGTTGGTACACGACCTTTCTTTTTGGTCTGTTCATCAGATCGTATGTGGATTCGAACCCGTGCCTGTATTTCAACAGTTCAAGGGTGTACCAAGTTACCAACTGAGCTAGGCACCGTTAGTACATGGCCTTTCCCCCCCCCCTTTTTTTTTACACAGCCCTCCTTTTTTGTTCTTGCTCCGATTCGGACTTCTCTCCCTCCGTGCGGCCTTTCCTTTTCGTTTCAACAACGGGCATCTTCTTCAATCATAAGTATTGTAACTGTGGTGTGTGCATGGGTCCTGGAGACCATCTCAYGCAAGTGTGTACATGCCATGCATCGTTCTCCCACACACAACGAACARTAGTCTGATAATAGACAAAGGTAGAGAAGATGAAAACCGAGTTTCACAGCTTATATTATCAAAAATATGAATACAAAGTGTTTCAAAGTTTCCCTGAGTCCAGCGCTCATCAGCGCAACACCAATATCTTGCCAACTCATCAA